TCACATGCTAGCAAGGTTATGCTTAAGATTCTGCAAGCTAGGTAGTCTTCAGCAATATGTGAACTGAGAATTACCAGAAGAGCAGGCTGAGTTTTGTTAATGGAAGACCCTGGACCCAAAAGGACCCAAAACAAAACAGAGTCTGATTACAGGTTATAAAAGTGTTTATTGATTGAGAAGAGCTTGCAAGCAGAACAGAGTTTTCAGCTGCTCCAAGGGGAGTGGAAAACAGGTGAGATATTTATGGTTTCTAAAGGCTTGTGTAGATGCAATAAGCCAGGGAGCAGAATGTTTGGAAAGTCCCAAGTCTGCAACTGTGCTCAAGGTTGTTTTTGAATCAGTCAAGGCTGATTCTGTGGTATCTGGCAACTACAGGCATCTCCAAATTCAGCTAGAATTCACTCACAAAGGATCACTGGTATATCAAGCGGCCCTGGGCTTCAGAAATCCTTTTGATTGGCTGATTGTTGTTTTCCTGCATCGTGTAGCTCCTCTGTGAAGAAAGGAAGCTCTGCCATATCTAACAGGTTGGTATAGTCATTACAGAGTCCATGTTCAAATTTTCAAAGAGGCAGAGGAACTAGAGACCAAAATACTCACTGGATTATGGAGAAAGTAAAGGAGTTCTGGAAAAAAACCAACCAACCAAACAAAAAAACCCAAACACATCTGTTTCTGTTTCATTGATTACACTAAAGCCTTTGACTATGTGAATCACAACAAGATGTCGCGAGTCTTCAAAGAGATGGAAGTACCAGATCATCTTATTTGTCTACTGAGGAACCTGTATGTGGGCCAAGAAGCAAAAGTTAGAAACAAACATGGAACAACTGAATGACTTAAGATAGGAAAAGGAGTACAACAAGGCTGTACATTATTTATTAATTTTAAAATAACAATCAATAATAATTTTAAATATTAATTTTTAATAATGTTTGCTTTAAATTATTTATTTAATTTATATGCAAAATACATCATGGGAAATGCTAGGCTGGATGAATGAAAACCTGGAATTAAGGTTGCTGGGAGAAATATCAACCATTTCAGATAAGCATAGCAGAGAATGAAGAGGAATTAAGAAGCCTTTTGCTAAGTGTGAAAGAGAAGAGTGTAACAGCTGGCTTGAAGTTTAACATAAAAAAAACTAAGATCTTGGTTACTTGGTTCCTAGCAAATAGAGGGAGAAGAAATGGAAACCGTGTCACCTTTTTTATATTCTTTTTGTTGTTGTTGTTTTGCATTAAGCTGCTTTAATGGTCTAAAATTCTGTGACAAATTAGATTTTTGGTCAAGTTGTTTCCATTTAAAAATTACTGATTTTGAAAACTAATAACTTAAAACTACTATGAAACAAATGGTCCACAAAAACATTCCTTTCTTCCTGAAGCTTTTAGGATTCATTGTAATCATTAACCAGTTTGTTTTTTTTTTACTATTAAACTTGAATGGCCAATTGAGATGAACAGTTCTGAGACCATTCTTCCACCACTGATTAAGACTGGGGTGGCAGGTGTTATACAGAATATTCATTTAGCCTTCTGGGCAAATTTTGTGACTTTGCCAGCTCTAGCAGCCTTCTTGTTAACTGCCTTGATGACACCAACTACAACAATTTGCCTCATGTTACAAACAGCAAAACGACCCAGAGGGAGATAGTCAGAGTTCTCTACACATATGGGCTTGCCTGGAACCATGTCAATGATGGCAGCATCACTAGATTTCAGGAATTTAGGGCCATCTTCCGGTTTCTTACCAGAATGGTCATCAATCTTTTCTTTAGTTCAGCAAACTTGCAAGTAATGTGAGTAGTGTGACAATCCAGAACCAGTGCATAGCCAGCACTGATTTGGTCTGGATGGTTCAGGATAATGACCTGTGCATTGAAGCCATCTATTTCTATAGGTGAGTCATTCTTGCTATCACCAGCCACATTACCATGGCAGACATCTTTGACAGACATGCTCTTGACATTGAAACCAACATTATCCCCAGGCAGAGCCTCATTCAAAACTTCATGGTGCATTTCAACAGTCTTTACTTTAGTTGTAACATTGACTGGGGCAAAGATGACCACCATGCCTGGTTTTAGAATACCAGTTTCCACTTGGCCAACAGGTATAGTACCAATATCACCAATCTTGTAGACATCTTGGAGGGGTAGAGGAAAGGGCTTGTCAGTTGGATGAGTTGGTGGCAGGATGAAATCCAAAGCTTCAAACAGTGCAGTTCCACTAGCATTGCCATTTTTATGAGTGACTTTCCATCCTTTGAACCATGGCATATTAGAACTTGACTCTAGCACGTTGTCACCATTTCAACCTGAAATTGGCACAAAAGCTATTGTCAGGGTTGTAACCAATTTTCCTAATAAAGGTACTGACTTCCTTGACAATTTCCTCATATCTCTTCTGGCTGTTGGGGGACTTAGTGGAATCCCTTTTGTTTACACCAACAATCAGTTATTTCACTAGTGTGTAAGCCAGAAGGGCATGCTCATGGTTCTACCCATTCTTTGAGGTATCAGTTTCCAATTCGCCAACACCAGCAGCAACAATCAGGACAGCACACTCAGCCTGAGGTGTGCCTGTAATCATGTTCTTGATAAAGTCTCTGAGTTCTGTAGCATCGATAATGATCACATAATACTTGTTAGTCTCAAATTTCCACAGGGAGATATCAATAGTGATACATGCTCATGTTCAGCCTTCAGCTTATCCAAGACCCAGACATATTTGAAGGAGCCCTTTCCCATCTCAGCAGCCTCCTTCTGGAACTTCTCAATGGTTCTCTTATCAATTCCATCACATTTGTAGATAAAATGGCCAGTAGTGGTAAACTTGCCAGAGTCTACACTTCCAATGATGACAATGTTAACATGAATCTTTTCCTTGCCCATTTCTGTGGAGGCTTAGCATGGTTTTCACAACACTTGTGTTCTGGTGGCAAACCTGTTGTGGAAAAAGCCAGCTTTTATATTCTTGGGCTTGAAGATCACTTCAGATGGTAACTGTAGCCATGAAATTAAAGGACACTTGCTTCTTGGAATGAAAGCTATGGCAAATCTGCACAGCATTACTAAGAAGTAAAGAAATCACTTTGCTGACCAAGGTCCATATAGTCAAAGTTATGGCTTTTCCAGTAATCAGGTATAGCTGTGAGAGTTGGACTATAAGGAAAAATGGGCACTGCAGAATTGATGTTTTTTAATTGTGGTGCTGGAGAAGACATTCGAGTGTCCCTTGGACAGCAAGGAGATCAAATCAGTCAATATTTAAAGAAATTAATTCAGGTTATTCATTGGAAGGTTAAATACTAAAGCTGAACCTTAAATACTTTGGTCATATAATGAGAAGACAAGACTCATTGGAAAAGACCCTGGTGTTGGGAGAGGTTGAAGGGAAAAGGGGACAACAGAGGATGAGATGGATAGATAGTGTCATGGAGACAACGAATATGAACTTGGACAGAATTTGAGAGATAGTGGAGGATAGAAGGACCTGGTGTGGTATGGTCCATAGGTTCACAAAGAGTCAGACATGACTGAACAACAAAAATGGTGGAGACAAGATATTGCAAGAAGTATATGCTAACTTGGCTGTTATTATCATACACTATAAAGGAGAAAAGCCTGATGATTTTGTACTAGTAGAGAATCATCTATAAAGATTATAACTAAGAGGCGTGATAGAATCTAAGAGATTTGCTTAGCCTGAAGCAAGTACATTATTCAAAAGTATTAACACACAATCTGAATCTGCCCAGGACTATCTCTACTCTGCAGAAACAAGCCACTTCCAGACACCAGAAGTGACTTCATTTCCCACCAAGCTGCACTCCCCAGGAGTGAAGAACTCTAAGGTCCCACTTCAACCTTTGACCTCACATCTTATCAGTACCCTCTAGCCCTGTAGCCCCTTCCTCTGATTGGAAAGGGTGGAGATGGAGAGCTCCTCCCAGAACCTCCATTAAGGAGGGCTCCCAGGCCAGGCATCTCTTCATTTCCCACCTGGCTGTACTCTTAGGGACTTTGCCATCATGCTCTTGTGCTGGGTACCTTAATCCCACCTTTCCAACTTTCTTTTGTGTGTTATTTTCCCTCCCTGGATTGTAAGGTCCATGAGGAATTGTGTTTTCTTCTCATTTAAAAATTTTTCCCCCAGTACTTAGCACAATGTCTGGCACATTGTAGGCACTTAGTGTTTATTGACTTCATTGAGGTGAACAAAGGGAGTCCCTGAAGCCTGAAGCCTGGAGCCTGGTGGAAGTAGGAGTGCTGTCTAAGACTCAAACACACACACAAAGACAGAGACACTCACACACTCCAGATAGACACATAAAGACACACATGTATATACACAGACACACACAGACACAGACACACACAGACACACCGACACATCGACACACACAGACACACACAGACAGACACAGACAGAGACACACAGACACACACAGACACAGACACAGACACATGGATACAGACAGACACAGACAGAGACACACAGACACACAGACACACAGACACAGACAGACAGACAGACACAGACACAGACACAGACACAGACACACAAACACACACACACACACACACACACACACACACACACACACACACACA